AATGTAGGCTGAGCTCTCTGAGGCTTCACTGCTCTTACATTATCCTGTTTTATTTATTAACTTTATATTCTGGCCTACTTCTCCTCCTCAGCACTATTAGCCCACTTTTTACACAGTGAAAAGGAATCTGCTCCTCCTCTACATTACCCATCGCCCAGGACCAGTAAGGGACCAGTAGGGAGTCATCGCTGTGGCTTTAATGTTTGTTTGATGCAATGACAACGAGCACATTATGGTACATAGGAAAGAGGTCCTGAGGGCTCAGCTGATGTCTAGTCTTGCTTCCTACACTTTTTGCTGCATCGTCTGTGCTTTTATTTCATTCCAGTGAGATTACTGTAACCCATTATAATCCTGAGTCAATACATCTTAGTTTCAACTGGTAAAGCAAGTCTGTAGCAAGACTTTGCACAAGATACAACAAAAAAATGCTCAATCCCTAGTGTTTGCATTTCCACAGTGGTCCCACATATGTCTTAGTGAAGACTTGAAGCGGTTTACTGATTACTTTATAGCCAGGTATGGGTTGGGCCTGTCTGTCTTACCTTCTAATCATATGCAAACTTTGTGGCTCAACTAATGTGGCTGCTAACACTCTATCCAATCACAGCGTTGCTAACTTTGCATGCTTCGCTTGATCTAAAATCTAAAACCTGCTTAGTGGCTTTTTAAAGCATGTAGCAACAAATCTAGCAGCTTTTCAGGCAAACCTTAAATCCTCTCCCTCGAAGACAGTTTCCAATGGAGAGTGTAACTCAGTGCAACTCAACATTTCTTTCATCTGCCTTCCTCAAATGATTTAGGTGTATTGCTGAGGTTTACTTTAGGTATTCTAAAATAAATCTCTATCCACTACAACACTAGACATTAGGAATTGTAACCCTTCTGATTTTAACAGCCAAGCATTTACTTTGTGAGCTCACATGAAGAAAGTGCAGCAGTGCAGTGCTGTGTCCAAAAAACTCATCAACATTCTCTGTCTAAAGTAATTCTCACTTTCTAGTTGTAATCTCTGCTGTGTAAAACCATCTACAGCTTTCAGGCCTCTCTGTCCTGCTGTTGTTACAGAACAGGCTGCAAACCCTTGACTCTGTTGAGCTGCGACTCAAGAAAAAAGCTACTGAAAACATAAATATTGAATATAAAATCATATTTTTACAAAACTCTACCATCCTTAGCACAATATGTTTTAGTGGAATTTTAAATGAGGTTTTCTTACTTCTGCTCTGATTTAGATTAAGTTCTCTAAAGTAATAATGGACAAAACTGCAAACAATAAAACCCACACTGTAGTAAACCAGAATTTTCTTTTAAATATGTCCTTGAGTATTCACTGTAATAAATAAAGGTTGTTCTGTGGTGTCACTCTAGACAGGATTCCTGGCAGAGCTGCTTTTTCTCACCACAAACACATCAGAGCTGTTTTCATCTGGATCCTCACAGTCCTGATGTAAACTGTGTTTGTGTCTGTGGACCAGCCTGTGAATGTTAAAACAGACTTGGCAAAGCTCAGCGGAGCACTGTTGAACCCTGCCAGCCTCGCTGCCATGATGCCATTAAAATGTGACCTGAGTTGCGAGAGGGTTGGTGTGCTGTGTGTGTGTGTTCTTGTATTTGCTATACAGTAAGGGCCAAAAAGTATTGCTACAGAATGAGGACATTTTTGAAAAGTGAGGATATTTTGGCTGATTCTCACTTTCTGAAGCACCTTTTAGAGGGTTAAGAGTCAGTTGTAGGGTTTAGGTTGGAATTAGGTTTAGGTCAGGTGTTAGGGTAAGGGTTATGGTTGGGCATTTAGTTCTGATGGTTAAGGGCTAGTGTAGAGGGCTAGGGAACACAGTATGTCCTCACAACATACTGTATGGGTGTCCTCCCAAAGATAGAAGTACAAGTATTTCTGTGTGTATCCTTCAACTCCTCACATTTGAAATTCCAGCAGTGTTTCTCAGCAATAAAAACCATTGTGGGAATCAGGAGCAGTGTTTAGAGAAACAAAGTAAGGACTTTTATTTTGAACTTCTGATGTATTTGATTTGATTCATCGTCTGTGGGTCATGAACATCCATGAAAGAATCCAGGGAAGCTGATCTGGTTGAGATGTTGTTGAAGTGTGCCAATGTGCTCTACACAAACTTTACCTTCTGAACAAAGTGAAAATCAGCTAGAAGGTCGAGCTGCAGAGGCCTCATTGTTCCCTCCGTCCTTATAAAGCCAACAGCTGCAGCCTCTGACCACTCATCTGACGCTTCAATGAGAAGAGTCACCTCCTCTGCCAGTTTCTTTAAAAGCCCATTTCCATCCTGTCAGCTCTCATTAAGACACTGAGAGGGGACGCTGGATAGCTCGGCCCCACCCACTGACTTTGACCTCATCTCCTCGTGTGAAAATAAAACACCTACACCTGAACTCCTCTCATAGTGTATTCCATTTTCACTTTCCAAATCTGTTTTATTGCCCTTATTTATTGTGACCCCTTCTGTTCACTGGATGTGTCTATGTTTCATTTCCATCATGGTTCAACAGCCCAGTTTTCATAAAGCTCCGATACTGAGTTACACTGCTCTACTTATGAACTGGATGCTGACGTGAGTTCTAATTACAGCTACGGGGGCTCCCCTGCACAGCATTTATGCAGACTCTGAATTGGGACAGTAGGTGACCGATGATGTTTCACAACTTGTTTTTCCAGGGGTAAAAAAGTCATTGCAAGAAGGTTGATTAAGTTGGTGCAGTGGAGACAATATTCACAGTAGTAGATGGAGGTATGGTTAACATTTGTAGCAAATTTGGATGGAAGCTTGACTACAGAGTGTAAGGTACATAGGAAAGAGGTCCTGAGGGCTCAGTTGATGTTTCACCTCAGTCTGTCCTTCTCATATAGACTATTATTTTACAAAAAAGTCAGAGATCATCATCGAGCACTGACATTTGTGGGTAGAGTGTAGAGTTAAGCTAACGCTGACACAACCAGCTCTGTCAAGTGCCTCCAACACTCCAACATTTTATAGTTGAAATCAACTCCGAAATGTTTAACTCTGAAATTTCAGCACTCCAGTTTTTGCTGTGTAGCAGATCTGTTTATTTTGCACTGGCACAACAATTTTTCACATTCAGACACTTTAATTTTCATTTGTATATGGAGTGAAATACAGCATAGAGCCCAGCTGTCATAAATCAGAGCAACGCTGCAAAAACAAGCTGAGGTGGACAAAACACGGGCAAGAGAGAGTACATTAAAGAAAGGACTGGTTTTTGATCTGATTCATTTTAGCTGATTCATATCTGTTACAAGATGCCTGATAGCCACTGGGAGCAGCTCAGGGCATCTCTCATTTTGAGCAGCAACTCTGTGTTGCTGTGAGAATCTGAGATTTTAAATACTGTGACAAAACAGGACCAACAGATTTCGCCTAACAATATGGAGATTGGCATGTTTTTCGGGACATCAGAACACTGGACTAGATGTTGCTGCTGTTCTTATGAAGACTGGACAGCGTAGGTATAATGTGTCCTCCTTGTCAGTATATCTGTCACTCTGATGTCCAGTGAAGCAGAGACAAAGGTGACATTCAGGAGTCTCCACTGGGCTGTGAATCAATCCGTTTTAGTTTCCGGAGCTCTGGAAGAACCAGCCGTTTTATAACAAAAGATGTCCGATTGCTGCCTCCTCCCTGCTGCTGTAATCCTGTTATCACTCCTCTGCTGCACTGTCCCTCCATCACCCAGAGGGCAGATCTGACATACCGGACAAAGAGTCACAGAGATGGCCAGAAAAGCCTCACTTTGTATTATCAGACAGGAGGTAGCTCAAGCATTAGTGTGTGTCTGCAGAGGAAGTGTTCACTACAGCTGCACGTTGTAAAAAGAGCTGAATTCTGTTCTCTCTCTCTCTCCCAGAAAAAAATTTGTTAAAAGGTTATTAAAGCAAAATATATCATGTAACAAAGCAATTTAAAAAATGTGGAATTTGTGTTAATTTAGGTTTTTTTGTAATTTTGTGTTTTATGTGGTCATAAATATTTTGGCTCATTGTGTCTCTCTGGGATAGTTTTGCATGTCTCTGTGGTTTTTGAACACATGGTTAAAAATAACTTTTACTGCTACTGTGAAAAACACACTGTTTGCTAAAGATGATACTGAACAATTCTGGCACTTAGTACCCAACAAAGTGATTTGTGTATCTACCTACAGGAAGGTATGTGTATGTGTAGTTTACATTTCTACTGTGTCCCATCTTGTTTGTTCCTGCAGTGAAGAAGCTCCTCCCCTCCTCTGATTCATGACGCAAACCAGGAAACAAATGGTAAGATTCACTTTCATAACAACAAAACCAGGACAGCTACCGAGTGAAACATTGGGAACACTGGGAGTACTTGCTGCTCCTGATTCCACCCAGTGAACAATTGTTTTACAAGAACAAGGACTCAAAGAGAAAGTAATTTCCAGGGAGCAGGAAATCACTGATTTCCTGTTTGAGCTGTCTGCTGCTGTGTTTTCAGCTTTGTTCAGAGACTAAATGGCTTCCAGACTAGAGGAGGATCTCTGCTGTCCAGTCTGTCACAACATCTTTAAAGATCCCGTCATCCTGCCATGTAGCCACAGCTTCTGTAAAGACTGTCTGCAGAGCTGGCGGAGAGAGAAACTAACCCATGACTGTCCAGTTTGTAGGAGAAGATTTTCAAAGGATCCACCTCCCAACTTTGAGTTAAAGGACCTGTGTGAGTCCTTCTTACAGGAGAGAGGCCGTAAAGCTTCCAAGCTTCTCTGCAGTCTCCACTCCAAGAAGCTCATACTCTTCTGTCTGGACCATCAGCAGCCAGTGTGTGTCGTCTGCAGAGACTCAGAAAAACACAGTGAGCACAGGTTCAGACCCATTGATGAAGCTGCACGACAACACAAGAAGGAACTGAAGGAAACTCTGGAGCCTTTAAAGGAGAAGTTAAAGGTTTCTGAACAAGTTAAAGTGAAGTTTGATCAAGCAACAAAACACATTCAGGTCCAGGCCCGACACACAGAGAGGCAGATTAAGCAGCAGTTTCAGAAGCTTCACCGGTATCTAGAAGAGGAAGAGGAGGCCAGGATGGCTGCACTGAGGGAGGAAGAGGAGCAGAAGAGTCAGATGATGAAGGAGAAAACGGAGGCTCTGAGCAGAAAGATAGCAGCTCTGTCAGACACAGTCAGAGCCACAGAGGAGCAGCTGAGAGCTGAAGACCTCTCATTCCTGCACAGCTACAAGGCTGCAGTGGAAAGAGTCCAGCAGCGCCCCCTGCTGGAGGATCCACAGCTGCCCTCAGGAGCTCTGATAGACCAGGCCAAACACCTGGGCAACCTGGCCTTCAACATCTGGAACAAGTTGAAGGACATGGTCTCCTACACTCCTGTGGTCCTGGATCCAAACACTGCTGATCCAACATTTGTCTCATCTGATGATCTGACTGGTGTGACAGCAGGACAGAGACGGCAGCTGCCTGACAACCCAGAGAGGAGTAAAGACCTCTTCTCTGTCCTGGGCTCTGAGGGCTTTACCTCAGGAACTCACAGCTGGGATGTCGAGGTTGGAGACTGTACACACTGGTCACTGGGTGTGTTAGAGTCTGTCCAGAGGAAGGAAAGCGTATATGGATTATGGACAATATGGTTCTGTGTAAATAACTACAGAACATGCTCCCCATCGAATCCATGCACTCTCCTCTCAGTGCAGAAGAAGTTCCAGAGGATCAGGGTGACTCTGGACTGGAACAGAGGAAGTCTGTTGTTCTCTGATCCCGATACGAACACACACATACACACCTTCACACACAGGTTCACTGAAACACTGTTTCCATACTTTTGGACCTGGAATAACTTTCCATTGAAGATTTTACCACTGGCGGTCGCTGTGACTGTAGAACAACACATATAGGCAATGGATCATTGGCAATGATCTGCTGATTCAGTTCGTGATGATTCATTTGCTTCAGATGCTGTGTCTCAGGAACAAACCCCAAAACACTAATCAGGCCATGATGATCCTGATTTAATATCACACAAGGGGCACCATGGGAGTTGAAGCAGGTTGTAAAGTCAGGGTCTGATTTAATACAGCAGATTCTTGCAGCCAAAACAAATGCAGTCTGATACAGTGGCCCTAAAACAACGGCGTCCTTCATGATGGTTGTAATGTTCAGTTTGCTGCAGTGTTTCTGACATTTTATCTGACCCATTCATATCAGTGAGTGCAGGCTAAATATTAATACAAACACTGATAAACCTATGATCAGAAATGCGACACAAACCACTCATTGCTCAATGCTAAGCTTGTTTTTCCTTAATTTTTTTTTGATTGACACAGTTCTTTTATTTTGAAAAATGGATCCAGTTTTAGAAAGCTGCTCAGAGCCCACTTCAGACATGAAACGTGACGCTGCTGGCATCATTAAGTCGTTAACATGGTGACTTTTTGTCTTTTGTTAGGTCATTTTGTGTTGTGCATTTTAAAAAAATTGTACATTTAAAAAAAAGAATTTAAAGTATTCAAAGAAATAAATATAAATATTCAAAGAACTTCCATGTTGCATTTCCACTGTGTTCATTATAACTGGAGTAGTGGATTATCCTTGTTCCACTGACATATGATCTCAGAGGAGGATGACGCTCAAAGACAGGAAATCACTTTCGTTACAAAAAACAAAATGTCAGGTGTGCAGCCACTCCGCCATGTGTAAGGCAAAGCAGCGTGACTGGATGTAAACCTGGATTTTCTACTGGGTGAGAGACATTCTACACGTCCTTCCCTCCTTGAAATTCTAAGGTTAATACCTGATTTTACAGTATTAGATGATCAGCTGTAGTGTCTACTGTATTTACTCAACATGTGTAAAAAAAATACCTTGAGGAGAATCCTCTCAGTGTGTTTTTATAAAGGCAGCTACAGGGCATAATTTTGTCTCTGACTGACAAGTTCACATCTAAACATTCAGCCTGGATTCCTGAAAATACCAAAATTCAACATTTTGTTTTATTTTTAAGGATATGTAAAACTGCCTAATTCATAGAGTTTTGTAGTTTATTTAACTGCTTTTATTTTCTTTGAGCCCATTCTGAAGCAGCTGAACAAGACCTGCCAGCTCCTCTGTGCAGGTCCGACCTTATGCTGGTGCAGCTGTTACACTGACTCAGACCTGTGCTGACTTGAAGGTGACAGAAATCAGACCGTCAAAGTGACCCGGGTGTTTGTTTAGATAGGAGACCACCATGTTAAATTGCTGCCAGATAAATCTCAAAGGTGCACCAGGCCGTCACATGACATCTTTGTCATGTGACAGATGAACACTGAAGCCATATGTGATACAAATTGTGCAGGACAAGAGATGACCAATTATTGCTGTTTTCTTTGACCTCTGTAAAATTCCCACTGTGTAAACAGTGAAGTCTGCGGCAGACCACTGGTGGCACCGCCCTCGACTTTCACCCAAAATAAGCGAGACGTCATCTCCCAGTAGAAGTGTCTCCTCTGCAGGCATCTTTGTGGCATCACCTGGTTTGTATAAAGAAAGCTTGAATATGTGAGGTCACGTGACAACCTTAAAGAGACATGGCAGGTGAGGTCACAAGGACAGAAAGACATCAAGGAGTCCTGAAGGACGAGGAAGATGACGAGGCCAGTGTTAACAGGCAAATGAGCTCAGTCGGAGGAGAGGAAGAGGCAGGTACGACAGTGCCGACTCGAGTCCCGGAGGAGGCAGCGACAGCGGTGGTCAGTCCCTCTGAGACAGAGAGACGATACTGCCTGCAGATGATTAATGTTGGAGTCAGAGCGGTTTGTTGAAGGTTAGATAAGGACTGAGGTGGCGGTCCCAGCTGGCTCCTGTGACATCTGTGGACGGGGACGGAGTGGCGATTTGTTCGCCACGCTCCCAGCAGGCCACAGACAAAGCATCACTCGTCTCCCCTGAGCTCCCCATACCTCAGTTTTTCCTCCACTTTACACACTAAATTACATCCTAGACACATTTATCATGTGCAGAATTCAGCAGTGAAATTTAGTGTCTCATTTCCTAAATTAAACCTTGTTTGACATCACTGGAGTTTTTAAAAAGCCGCAGTAATTTTTCCTGCTGGCAGTTTGAAGACGAGTGCAGCGCCCTGCGGTGATAAACACCACTGAAATATGAGCATGTAGCTCCACATGCCAGGATGAAACATGCTCCTCTCAGATGTGACTGATTCAGAGCTGTAGGATGACTGATCGCCTGAGGTTTTATTTAGATGTCTTTCACCTGAAATACTACATTTAATCACAGATCCAAACATGCTAAATATATCCATCCAGCACCATGTAAAAGACAGAAATAATCAGCTCCGCTCAGTCTCTTTTCTCCTAAAGACACTGATCTGAGATGAAACATTGATTCTTAAAATCTACATTTGGGATGTGCAGCTCAACCAAGACGTGTCCAAACACAGAGTCTGAATAAAAAGTCAAAACAACAAAACTCTGACGCCATTTTAGATTGTTGTGACTTTATTCACATTCTTCTGTCTCCACTAAATATATTTGGTGGTGAATTAATTTTCATTTCATGTCTGAAAAGTCTTTCCTCTCTCTCTCTCTTTGTTCCAGTGTTTTCTTCATCTTTTTGTTCTATCTCATCAGATAAATACCACATGTTTGGATGCATATATCATGATTATGACAAGATCTTAAACTATTATTTTCATTCTGTGTGTCATTCTATGCATGAATTGTACTATATAAATACAGCTATTATTATTATTAATAATAATAATAAAATAATAATTTCAAACCTTTTTTGCAGTGGGATTCATGCCGCACAAGCTGTTTCTGGTTCAGATTTTGCTCCACACTGTCAGAAATCAAACATCTGTGCAGCAGCTCCATGTTGAGTGCTGTTTAACCTGCAGTGAGACGCTCTGCCTCCTGGGAAACATGTCCTACATCATCCATCATGGCCGCAGAGGGAGGCACTGTTTGGTCCCGAGAGGAAACTGTCCGCAGGTTTCTGTTTTAAATCCACACCGAGCAGAAGGACGTGAGTTGCTGCGATAAATAAACGTTTTGTGTGAAATAAATCAGCGCAGAGAGTTTCATCGTTCAGTGTCGCAGGAACACGCAG